ATAAGAGTACTGCATGTGCTGGAAAATGCACTATTTCTCAAGAGCCAATATTCAGCATCATGATGAAAGTGTATGACAGTGAAAGCATTCACTTAAAACCCATGGAGCCAGTTGGGACGCTGAGCAGAAGAGAGCTAGCTTCATTAAAGAGGGTAATTTTCCGCTTATTTTCTACCTTTGATTTTTTGTAGTAAGGGCTGAATACTAACAAAATCATGCTGTTTCCAGTTACTTGCTGATTTCAGAGTTAGATACCTTCACATTAGTGACAAGTTTCTTTATTTTGCTTTCTGTACCAGAAAGCATTAAGGTGGCCAGTAAACTCAGAAACTTATGTGCAAGTGACACTACAGAAATCCAAAGTGCAAATGCATAGATTAAACTTATTTTGATTTTAGAGAGGATTTTTAAGGAACAAGGACGTGAAAGAAAACTTTTGGAAAAGATAAAAGCAGAGGATGATGGATGAGATTAGAAGTGGGAAAATGCAAGTGGGTGTTAGTGAAGTCACTGTATTTTGGGAGTAGATCAGCTATCTTTAGAACGTGACCGTCCCTGGATAACTTACCTATTCCCAGTACTGTGCAACAACAGGAGAAGTGTGAATGAATCAAGGACAAGCTTTTCAAATCTTGGCATCGAGTAACACCGACAAGAGCTTGTTGTTAGGTGCCTTCAAGTCAATTCCAAGTCATAATAACCCCAAGTGACAGAGTAGGAATACCCAGTGGTTCTCTAGGCTGTAATCTTTATAGAAGTAGATCACCAGGTCTTGCTCCCAAGGAGCACTGGGTGGGTTTGAACCATCAACCATGTTATCAGCCAAGTACTTAGCCATTGTGCTACCAGGGCTCCGACAACAGCTTAGTACTTGAGTAAAAGGCATATGCAAGGACTCCTGGACAAGCATTTAAACTTCTTAAACATTTCAAAACTGAACACGGACATACTGATTTTTCTCTATTAGATTAAAAATTCAAGATCAGGGACATGTATTATGATTAATTCTACCGTATGGCATTTGTCCTCTATTATATCTCAGAGCGTGAACATTTCAATCATGGTACAACTCTCCCTATCTTGGTAACAAGAAAGGAAAGCTACTGCTTGTAACTGAATATACAAGAGGCCACAATGCAGCATTGCACAATTGCCATGAGGAAAGTATATCCAGAAAAACTTCTCTACACTCTCTGATTCACAAAGGCCATGGAATCCTCTATGTCAACTTGCCTGCATAAGGAATTGCAGCAGTCAAAGCAATTATGTGAATCTTCAGTTATTCAAATTATTATAAATAGAAAGCCAGTGCATGGAGCAAAGGAGAGCTGGGAAATGGAAAGACAGAGCCCCAAAAATGTTACCTTGGCTCTTGAAAACCATCATGCCTGAAGACAAACACATCACCCACCTTCAGGACTCTCAGCTACAGAATAAAATAATTCTCTTTGAGTTTAAGTTACATGTTTTTGGCTTTGCATTGGTCAAATGCAATCAGCAATGCTCTAATATACTAGTTAGAATGTGTTAACTACCTTTGTCAAAGACCATCTGAGCAGCCTCTTGCCCTCAGAGACCAATATGACAATAAGGAGGAGATGAAAGGCTCTGTGCTAAGAGTTTAGGAGTTTGAATTTCCTCTAGGTTCCCATCCATCTTGGAAAAGGTGACCTTGTTAGAAGACAGTGGTCTGAACTGTCTTTTATCTTAACAATGTCTAGTGGGCCTGTATCTAAAGGAGCCCTGGTGGTGCAATCATTATGGGTTTGGTTGCTAACCCAAAGCTGGTGGTTGGAACCCACCCAGAGGCTCCATGAGAGAAAGACCCTACTATCTGCTCCCACTGAGATGTTTTCAACAAATGGATACTGTGCTGGAGGCACGAACTCATCTATGTCAAGAGATGTGGAAAACAGCTACCTGGCCAACTGACTGGAAGAGATCCATATCTATACCCATTGCAAAGAAAGTGATCCTACAGAATGTGGAAATTATTGAAAAATATCATTGATATCACATGCAAGTAAAATCTTACTGAAGATAATTCAAAAACAGTTGCAGGAGTATATTGACAGAGAACTTCCAGAACTGCAAGCTGGATTCAGAAGAGGACGTGGTACGAGGGAGATCATAGCTAATGTCAGATGGATCTTGGCTCAAAGCAAAGAATACCAGAAAGATATTTACTTGTGTTTTATTGACTATGCAAAGGCATTTGATTGTGTGGAACAGAACAAATTGTGGATAACATTGAAAAGAATGGGAATTCCAGAACACTTAATTGTACTGATGAGGAATCTGTACCTAGATCAGGAGGCTATTGTTTGAACAGAACAAGGGGATACTGCGTGTTTTAGAATCAGGAAGGGAGTGTCTCAGGGTTGTATCCTTTCACCATACTTATTCAATCTGCACGCTGAGCAAATAAGCTGAGAAAATGGACTATATAGATTTGTAGTAAAAGTCGAATACTAACAAATCCACGCTGTTTCCAGTTACTTGCTGATTTGGTTACACATGGCATCATGATTGGGGGAAGGCGCATTAGCAACCTGAGAGATGCAGATGACACAACTTTGCTTACTGAAAGTGAGGATGACATGGAGCACTTGTCGTCATCGTTGTTATTCTGTGCCGTGGAGTCGGACCCAACTCATAACAACCCATCCCTGGGTTTCTGAGGTGGTATCACTATGGAAGTAGATTGCCCAACCTTCCTTCTGAGGAGTGGCTGGTGGGTTTGAACCACCAGCCTTCTGGTTAGCAGTCAAGTGCCATAGGCACTACACTACCAGAGGAAAATTAGACTGCAGTCTGCAGTATGGATTATACCTCAATATAAAGAAAACAAAAATCCTCACAACTGGACCCATAAACACCATCATGATAGATGGAGAAAAGACTGAAGTTGTCAAAGACTTCATACTGCTTGGTTCTACAATCAATGCCAATGGAAGCAGCAGTCAAGACATCAAAAGACATATTGCGTTGGGCAAATCTGTTGTAAAAGACCTCTTTCAAGTGCCGAAGAGCAAAGATGTCTCCTTGAAAACTAAGATGCACCTGAACCAAGCCATGGTATTTTCAATTGTTTCATATGCATGTGAGAGCTGGACAATGAACAAAGAAGATGGAAAAAGAGTCGATGCTTCTGAGTTGTGGTGTTGGGAAGAATGCTGAAAGTACCGTGGACTGCTCAAAGAACTAACATGTCTGTCCTGGACGAAGTGCAGCCAGAAGGCTCCTTGGAAACAGGAACAACCAGACTCCGTCTCACCTACTTTGGTCATGTTGTCAGAAGGGACCATTCTCTGAAGAAGGATGTCATGCTTGCTAAGTGGAGGGTCAATGAAAGAGGGGAAGACCCTCAACAAGATGGATTGACACAGTGGCTGCAGCAATGGGCTCAGGTACAGCAAGGATTGTGAGGCTGGCCCAGGACTGGGCAGTATTTCATTCTGTTGTACATAGGGTCTCCATGAGTCAGAGACAACTCAACGGCACCTAACAATAACATCTGCTTCCATAAAGATTGCAGCCTGGAAAACCTATGGGGCAGTTCCACTCTGTCACACAGGGTTGCTGAGTTAAAACCAACTGAATGGCACTCAACAACAAGTGAGTTTTGTATTCACTTTCCAACCTCAGTTTATGATGCTGTCTCAGATATCTGCCTCAACTAAGGGCAAGATATTCCTGTCCTCATGCTGTGTCTGGACTGCCTTATGGGCCAATATCCTCATGATCTCTACTGGTAACATGCCCACCCTCTCATTTAGTTGGCAGACATAGTGCCCTGGCCATCTGTGAAGTATCTCATTCTTGGGATTGGATGCACATGGGATTGGATGCACACCAGAGAACTCACACCACCAGACAGTTGCCCCTATATCACGGTTGGGAGGCACATAAATTTTATCTTTGGTTTAGCTTCAGTGTGACTGAAAGTGCTTAGACAAAAGTGCTTTGAGTATCTAGAAAGAAATATAGTCCTAGGCATAACTCCCAGGTTCCAAGTCATCTATAAGTCTCTTTACATCACTGAAAGCACACAGTCATTTCCTCTCTCTTTGAAA